TGACGCAAAAAGGGACGCGCACGCAAGCGTGCGCGTGCCGCCGCGCCACGAGACACCTCTCTCGGCCCTGCGCGCCCGCCCCGCCTCCTCCGCGGCCACGCCCCGCCACGTGACGTACGCATGCGCTCCGCCTCCTCTGACCGGCGTAGTTCCGCGTCTCCGCGCTCACCGCCCGCGGGTGCCATTGCCTGCCCGAGTCACGTGCTGAGGGGAAGCGGGAAGGCGTCGTTCTTCTTTCCCAGCCCCTCCCCCCCGTCCGCCATGTTTTCTGGCCGGGTCAGCCTTCGTGTTTCCCCGTGAGGAAATGGCCGGGGAGCTGCAGGGAACCCAGGCACCGTTGCCTCGGCGGAGCCCGGGCTGACGAGGCGGGGCGGCGGGGGAAGCCGGAGCGGTTCTGCGCGGGGTGGGGAGGCCATGGCGTCCAGCAGTAACTGGCTGTCCGGCGTGAATGTCGTGCTGGTGATGGCCTACGGGAGCCTGGTGAGGAGATCCCCCACCCATTCCGCTGTCGCGTCTGACCCAGTAGAGACCCTCCTCGCGAGCTGCTCCCTGTCCTCGTCCTCCACCCACTCACCTGCGCCTTTTCTGGGCTTTGACTCCTATCCCAGGAGTACCTGGGAGCAGAAGTCTCCGACGCGGGCCATCCCGCCCCGCCCCTGGCCGAGAACCCTCCCTCCAGGCCCTGAGACGGACCCCCACGCCTCCCCGCGGCCTTGCCGGGCCCCAGGGCGCACCCCCGAAGCGCCCCCTGAGAGCCCGAATCTGGGGATTGGAAATGAAGGCATGTCATTAAAGTTTCTTCTCTCGTCTCTTGGACAGGTGTTTGTACTGCTATTTATTTTTGTGAAGAGGCAAATCATGCGCTTTGCAATGAAATCCCGAAGGGGACCTCATGTCCCTGTGGGACACAATGCCCCCAAGGTAGGTCCTTAAGGCACGAGATGGGCCTGGTTCTCCAAATCTGTTAGGGCCCGGAATGAGATTTCTTTTGCCTTTAGAAATAACTCACCCGCCCGCTTCCTTGTGCGGTTACCCACGTGCTTGTCTTAGTAGATGGGGCACTAGCGGTCAGCTTGGGCCCTGGCTTACCTGCTGGCTGCTGTGCCACAGCGGGTAGCTTACCCAGGAACTTCAGTTTCTGCATCTGCAGAACGAAGGGCTGGGTTAAAATTTCCAACTTTTGTTTTAAGATGTTTCGCAGCGTAACTTAAACAACCTGGTGTTTTCTGGTTTGGTTTGGTTTTGTTTTTAAGGCTGGGCTTAGGGTGGTTAGAATTAGCTCCAGCTCAGAAAGAAGAGGTGCCTTTGCAGAACTTGAGACTTAGGCTCCATAAATCATCTAGTTCAACATTCACGTTAGAAACTGAAACCTAAGAGAAGGAAGCAGTTTGCCCAGCGATGTACAGAAAGGAAACAAACCACCCAGCAGTCTCTCTGTAATGGCCTTCCGTTCCTTGGCCTGGTTGTCCGTTGATGAAACTTTACCCCAAACCTCTTTCCTGAGTTCCATACTTACGTATCCAGCGGCCCGACAGTAGATGTCTGATAGGCACGTCACACCTAAAGTGTCTAAATCAGAACTCTTGCTAATCCACCACCATCCTGCTGTTTCTGTCGTCTGCTTCTGAGTAAAAGGCACCTGTTGCCCTTACCGGCCTCCTCTTGTATGGCTCTCCCTTGATCACTGCAATCCAGCTATACTGGTTGAATTTCTCACTTTTCCGTGTGCCATTACTGTGGCCTAGAATGATCTGTCGGACTTCCACGTGACTAGCTCATTTGTTCTTTAGCTTTGTTTAATTGTTGTTTCCTTCAACAAGGAGTGCTTGTTATCTATTTAAAGTAGGTCCTACTCTTTGTTTTCTTCTTGTCTCCCAATTTCTCTAGATAACATTTTACCACAATTTTTTGTTTAATTTTCTATTTGCTTAATGCTCCTCCCACTGAACCGTAAGCTTCAAGGATGCAGGCACCGTGCCAGGTTTTTTTCACTGCAAAGCCAGGGCCTACATATAGTAGGTAGTTAATAATTCATTTTGAGTAAAAAGCAGGTTAGTGGGAGAGCTAGAGCTAGTACACAATTCTCTCAGCTTCTGGACCAGTGTTCTGTTAACCAGTGTTATTAACTCTCCCCTCTCTGTTCTTTGCTAATATATTCCATGGAAAACCTCAAAGAAGATATCACAGGCCGAAAGGTCATCAGTGCTCCTTCCACATTCTCTCAATTCTCCAAAATGCCTCCTGCCTCCCATGAGAGGAATACAGGGTTGGCTTCCAGTACCGCATGAGCCACTCCAAACTCTGACTGCTTAGGAGCTTCCTGGACCCTTAGATGAGATCAAGGTTCCTTTTACTTTTAAAAATTCTCAATTTCTCATCCATTGTTAGTGGAAATATAAGTTAGGAAATATAAGTGGAAAACAATCAGGCATTATCTAGTAAGCTTGCACGCATACCTAATCCACAGCCCAGCAATTCAGATCCTACCGTAGAGAAATTTTTGCTCATGTGTACCGGAAGACATGTGCAAGAATATTCATGACATTGTTTTTAATATTTTTTTAAAAAATCCAAATGTCCATTTGAGAATGGCTATATAATGACATTTGTATTCTGGAATACTACAAAAAATGAAGGTAAACGTGAACAGAAATGAATCTCCAACTATCCGTGAATGAAAACTGTAAGTTGCAAATTTGGATCTCAAAAACATGCTGAATGACAAAAAGCAAAAAAAGCCATTCACAGGAGAACATGCACCATGTGATTCCATTCCGCTTACATGAAATTCTACCACAGACAGAACTATATGGATAGAAAGTACATCAGCGTTGCTTGGGGCACAGAGGGGGAAGGTTGGCTACAAAGGGTCTGAAGAACGTTTTGGGGTGATGGATGTGTTCTGTGTCTCGATTGGAATGGTGGTGGAGTGGTTATACTCATTTGTCAAAACTCATCAATCTACACATTTAAAGTAGACGCATTTTATTGCATGTAAATTCACTCTCAGGCTATTTAAAAATTTGAAAGCAGGTTGCAGAGGAATTCAAAAGTATTTTTCCATTTGCATAAAGTTCAAAACCAGGCACAGCTAAACATCTCGTTTGGGGTGATGAGATAGAACAGAGAAAAAAATCGATACTGTTGACAAATTACAGTTCAGGGGTTGTTCAGTTGGAGAAGTCATTGGTTGTGTTCCAGAACTTAAACGGTGGTGGGTGGATACGGGCATATGAGTCTTAGAACTATTTAAGATGTACACCTGTGCTAGGTGTGGGCTATGTGTGATATATTTCACAATGGAAGTTTATAAAAAGTTACAAGAGAAAGTATTTGTGGGTCTGACAACCCTTTCAAGTAAGAGAAGAATGTGAAACTTAACAGTGGTTGCTTCTGGATAAGGGAGGGGTGACACCTTCAGTACCTTTCTGAATTTTATACCATGGATGTGAATTACCTACTTAGAAAATTAAATATGCTCCACCAGGTGGCATAGTCCTCAAACTGTTATAAGCCATGAGCAGGCCTCCCTAGAGGTTTTTAGGGTGGATTGTGACTTCCATTGCTTTCGATTTCTTCCCAGCCCGAGAAGTTCTCTATAACACCTAATCAAGAAGCCTCCAAATCCAGCTGAAAGTCAAAGCTTGTGGGTGCTACAGGGCTGGGAGGCATCCTGGCAGTTTAGAAGGTCTAGGTTAGAGATAGTGAGGGGAGAGGTTCTTAGAGAACCCAGTCCCCTTCTTTCTTAAATTCTTGAGTCTTGTCTTGCCGTTTCATCGGCCAAATGAACCTTTCTCTGCTTCTGTCACATTGCCCATTGCTCTGCTCCGTTTCCAGGTTGACCAGAGTAGAGTACAGGCTGAGTGACGGCGTGTTCTTTTCTCTGTGTGAACAGGACTTAAAAGAGGAGATTGATATTCGACTCTCCAGGGTTCAAGATATCAAGTACGAACCTCAGCTCCTTGCGGATGATGATGCCAGACTGCTGCAGCTGGAAACGCAGGGAAACCTGAGTACGCAGCATGCTCCTGGACAGGACTTCAGCCGGGAGTCCCTCGAGTGCAGGGTGCCTTTGCGCTCGGAGTTGTAGCATAGCTGCTGGCAAAACCAGCAGCTGTGATCCCCTGTTCCTGGGAACATGACGGATGTGGGGAGGCAGTCTGTTAGCTTGTTGGAGTTTGGAGAATCTTTTGCAAGTTTTGCCTGAGACCAATCTTTCTCAACAGATTGCTACAACTATCTGTACAGGATGAAAGCTCTGGACGCCATCCGTGCCTCTGGTAAGGGCTGCTCGACAGACTGTTCAGCATCCCAAAGGCCCACCGGGGAAGAGAGGGAGGAGCCCAGCTGTTAGAACGTGGTAGACTGTCCCCTCTGCACGTCCCTGGCCAGCAGGCTTTTCCTAGTGCTTTTGGGTGACGATTTTGCCTAAGAAAATGCTGTAGGCAAGTTGTTTCTTCTCCAAAGACTCTGGATTTGTTTTGTCCTTCAGCCCTTTAGTTTGATGTACTAGATGGTGGTAACTTGCTTCTTTACACAAAAAAATAGGCGTCATCTGCTTTTCTGCAAAGCCCAAGATAGATGGTTCTTGAATCTTTTGTATTCTGTGATAATCGTCATACATGCTCTGTCTTTGCCAGAACATGGTTCATATCTCAAAGCCAGGGTGGGTAAGTGGCGGGGTAGATAGGACGACGGTATTGTGTGTCGTTGGTGTAGCTTACAGTTGTGTCGCCACCACCAAATGACAACCAAGACAGCTGAGTGTGCCCGGTCTTCATTCTTCAGAATTTCCCCCAACTCATTGGACCTATTTCTAAATTAGGGAAATTAACTGGGATGACTGATGAGTGAGAGGAGGTGTCATGGTGCCGTTATCTCCTCAGAGATCCCGTTTCATGCCGAAGGCCGCCATCCCCGTTCCTTAATGGGCAAGAACTTCCGCTCCTACCTGCTGGACCTCCGGAGCGCCAGCACGCCCTTCAGGGGCGTGCGCAAGGCCCTCATCGACACCCTGCTGGATGGCTACGAGACGGCCCGCTACGGGACAGGGGTAAGCGGGGTGGCCGCGCTCTCCCTCGGGACCTAAAGGGCCCCAGACTGAGGTCCTCACTCTTTGTCCTCTTTCCTCAGGTCTTTGGCCGGAGCGAGTACCTGCGCTACCAGGAGGCCCTGAGCGAGCTGGCCAGCGTGTGAGTTTAGAGGCGAGGACGTGCAGGGGACTGGCTGGAGAACACGGTCTCGCTGGGCTGTCCCCCAGTGATGTGACCTTCGTAAGCCGTGGTGCCCTAAGGCCATCAGGTCTAGTCTGTAGACCTGCCCCTCCAAGAGGAGGGGCGCGCTCCTGCCGCGGGCTCGGCGCTTCCTTTCCTTGCGGTGTTTTTTGTTTTTTGTTTTTTTGTTTGTTTGTTTTGGCCAGCTCAGTAAAATGTCAGAATCGGTGTAAAAGGGAACAAAGCTTTTCAGCACAGAGAGATTCCTTCTCTTCCAGGATCCTCCTTTTGTGTCTTGCTCTGATAAAAGAAAGAATTAAACGCCACCCATTTTTATTCCCACGTAAAGCATTAGTAACCCTGTCAGAAATGGGACGTCACTACAGGGTCAGCCGTGGAGTATTTGCGATAGGAGAGGAGCCATGATTTCTGTCTGGCAACGTTTTAAGTACTGACGTAGCTTCGTTCTGTTCACGTAGATGTTAAAACGAAGGGTAAAGAGGGAAAGCCCGTCTAGAGTGAAATCCAGTTCACAGGAAAGGAAAGGAAAGGAAAGGAGACGTCTGTCTTCCACGGCGTTGAATGGAGTTGGGGTGCGTCCCATCTTCTCTCTGTCCCTGAAAATAAATGGCCTTGTCGCCTGAAGAGAAAAAACGAGAATGGCAATGAAAATGAACACGTGGCGAGGACGGACAAGGGTGTTCGGTCTAGAATTCGGGCAGGAGGCCTGCTCAGAGCTGTTTTTACGAAAGAGATGCCGAGAGCAGTCAAATTCGCGGAGATGGAAAGTAGAAGCGGGGGCGGGGGGACGGTTAACAGTTTGTTTTGCAAGGTGAAGAGAGTTCACAGTGATGTGAATGCGCGTAACTACCGAAGTGCGAACATTTAAAAAAGGTTAAGATGGTAAATTTTATGTCGATTTTACCACAATTTTTTTTAATTCAGTCTTTTTCTAGTTTCTGGAAAGGTTCAGTGGGTATGGTGAAAACAGTATAGGCTCTGAAATCTTGACAAACTTAGGTTTGAATCCCAGCTCTCTGTCACTTACTAGCTTTGTGACCTCAGGCAAGTTACTTGATGGACCCTCAGTTTCCCAACCTGCGGGATGGGGAGGGCCCACCACTAAGGGGTGCTGGGGCGGTAGTAAGGTAGGTGTTGGTGGAGCGCCGTGTGTGACGTCTCGACGCCTGCTAAGCACTCAGTAGTCCCCTCTGTTCTTATTTTCGGTGTTCAGTTTTTAAGGGACTCTCTCCAGAGAGTGTATTAGTGGCACACACATCAGGTGACTCAGCAGAATTAAGTTTTCTTTAAGCACAGGGAGATGAAGAAAAGGTCGACCCGGAGGCAGGGACTCTGGGAAGTTGGTTTCTCTACTGTTTCTAAGCTACCAGGTGGGGCTTTAGTAACTGGTTTGTAAGATGGGACAGAGACTGTTCGTGGCGACGGCTGCATTTATGGGACGGATGAGCCTTGAGTTGCGTTCTCCCGTTAGTGCTCACTCTGTCCGTGACCTGCCCTCTCCTGCTCTTCAGGGTCAAAGCACGCGGTGGGAGCTCTCAGCGACAGCACCAGTCCGCAGCCAAAGACCTCACTCAGTCTCCTGAGGTCTCCCCGACCACCATCCAGGTAACATACCTGCCCTCCAGTCAGAAGAGTAAACGCGCCAAGCACTTCCTGGAATTGAAGAGCTTTAAGGACAACTACAACACGCTGGAGAGCACGCTGTGACGCAGCTGGAGGGCCTTCGCCCAAGGGAGCCACACAGACTGCAGCGGGTCACCCTCGGGTCACCCGGCTCTGCCGGCCCGGAGCGGCCGAAGCCCCCATCGCGTGCCGAGCTCTCAGAGCTCACGCCCAGGGGACCGTCCGCCAGCCTTCCTCCAAACGTCGGCGAAGACCTCATTTTCTCTTGGTAGCACTTTTTTCTGGAGTTGAATTCAGACGTTTTTCTTAATGTTCCTGTCAGAGCTTCCTTAAAAATCCTCCCTTGGTTTTGATCACAATTCATCTGCCCTTTGCCAAGACTACGTGAACCCCAAGGGTGAGAGCGGAGGACGGGGCGAGCGTCCTCCACACCTGCCCCTTTGTACGCAGTTGACTGGGAACTCGCTGGGTTTGAGACATCTGAGAGCTGATCGGTAGGGAGGGCGGGGGAGGCCGTGAGTGGCATGTGGAACTCACCTGGCGCTGCACTCGAACCAGGAAGTGTGAAAGCCACCTCCCTGACACACGGGGCCCACACCCGTCCACTTTCATTCCATGCTGTCGGGAATAAACAGGAAAGAGATGTTGGACACCTGATAGAATCCCATCCCCCTCCTTGATTGGGGATGGAAGCTCTGGGACAGTGTGACGGGGTGGTCGGACCAGTGCATGGGTCTGACTTTATAAATTATTTAATAAAATGAACAATGACAAAATAAGGCCTGTGGTTCATTCCTTTCCAGTGGCCTTTTAGTAAAAGGGGCGTGTGATGTGTTCTCCGCACCTGCCTGGTGGGGCAGGGCATGCAGCTTTGCCCCCAGAGAACCCGTGGGACTAGGTACCGTGGACCTGGGATCATGCGGCTACTTCTTGGGACCCAACAGAAGTCCTGAAATTGGGACTCTGGTCCTTCCTCAGAGAATTACCTGTGTCACTAATAGAAGCTGGAGAACCAGGATTCCCTTCACGTTTCCAGGGTGACAGGCCAGATAACCAATCACCTCCTAGGCTCAGGGTCATTGTTGAAGGCGTAAATGTCGCTATGACTACTGAAACCTTGGTGACTGAACCAAACTGAAAGCCTGCTCAGGCTCCCAAGACAGTATCAAGCAAGACTACAGACATGTCTGTGGAAAAAATGGCAAAGGTGGACAAGGTATGCGGAGTGGGAAGGGGGTCTGGGCAGGAGGGGCTCCCTCCAGGCTCCAGATCAGCTGACCAGTGGCTCTCTCCCTGAGAGGCCCTTGATGTGCAGGAGGTAAGAGCAGGAGTGGGAGACTGTCTGGCACGCAGTAGGCATTCAGATACCTGGGCCGTTCCAAGCGCTGCCTGTCCTCCGTCCTGCGAGGCCCAGCGCCTTCCCTAGGAAGCTGGCCACGCCTTCTCCAAAGAGAAAGGTCTCTGTGTCTCCCCTCCCCCCTCCTCCAGTAGGGGCCTGGGCATGGCAATGGAGGTGACACAGGGCTACAGAACTCACTTTTCTTGCAGAGTTTTGAAAGGGCCCTGGAACTTCGGAAGATGGTTGACAGGTAATCTCCACTTCCATGTCTTCTGCGATCCTTCAACTTGACCTCTTTCCCCCCCCAGCCTCCCTGAGCCTCCTCTCAGCTCTGCTGCATCCTGTGGGGGCTCATCAAGAAGGAAAGAAGATGGCGGGGCCAAAGCCCCCTCGTTCCCACGAGCGGAGACCAGCCTCCAAGGGCCCGCTAGCTTAGGCTGCATAGACACGCTGTTGTTGGCCCTGGCTTGCTGTTCTCTGAAGGAGAATCGCACCAAGCTTTTGTTGTTTTCATTTTATTTATTTATTTGTTTGTTTATAAGGAAAAGGCAAGTGTTTACTGTTGTTGCCTGGCGCTTTACTAATCCTGTTAGGGATGCAGGAAATATTTATTGAATGAGTGAGAAGACTCAAAAGACTAAGCTGTGTATCTCCTTCACCTGGGCGCCTTTTAAAAAAAACATACTTAGGTCTTAATCCGGAAGATTTGGACTAAAATGGTCGGATTGGATAGGGTAGCCCCGTTTTTTAAGGTTTCAAGTTAGACCGAGAGCTAGCAAGGATTTGCGGTAACAAGAATGTGTATAATCTTAGCAGGAGTCAAAGTTGATGCAGCCTTTTTTTACAAAGGCAGTTTGATGAAATCTATCAATTTAAATTACCTCTGACATGACAACTCCTAGGAATTTATTTACCTTACAAACACGCACCTTCAAACGACAGCATTGTTTATGAAAGTGGAAAAGCTAGAAACCACCGGGTTTTAACCCGCTGGTTAAATTATGATACAAAAGTACTAGGCAGCCTTCGAACCGCACGAAGCGAGTCTCTATGCGCTGATAGGAAAAGTCCAAATTGTTAAGTAATGTTACTTATATAAATGTATGATTCCATGTTAAAAATAAATAAAAAGCTATCCTTGCTGGTATATGATAGAAGATTTTTCTGGAAAGATACACAAGAAACCGTGATAACAGTTGAGATGGACTGGTGCGGGCAAAAGAATGAAGCTTTTGCTTGTAATTGACTATTTCTGTATGTATTTAATTTCCTAGTCATCTGTAAAAATACTTGATTTTAAGAAAAATCTCAATAAGGGTTATCTGAGCAGAGAATACATATATATATGTATGTATGGATACACGATACATATGTACACGCCTTTTACGTATGAAAACAAACCTTAACAAAGCATTCCAGAATGTGACCAGCCCAGGCTGAGAATCACTGGCGTGATGGCGGGAAGTAATCCTTAGCTCGGACTTGACACCCAGGTCTGCCATTGAGCGACCTTGGGCAACCCATCTGAACTTCGTTTCTTTGTCTGTATAATGCAAAAATTAATGTGTGGTTCACATGGTTATCACAATGATGAAATGACATAGTGTGTGTACTATATACTAGGTTCTAAGTCACTTCTAGTTGGCCTTTCAAGGAGTTTACAGTCCTCTGACTGTCACAGAGTTTCTGGTGAAGAAGCAGCCTCATTGATGGGGTTTTTGTTCCCACTCCTAACTCTAACCCATTCGACCCCTACCTTTATACCTGGGGCAGGTGGCAAAATTCACACACTCACTGTATGTGGCAGATGACATTGAGCCAGAGGAGAAACCCCTATGCCTACCTAAGGATGCAGGACACCATGGTACAGGAGTTGGCACTGGCCAACAAGCAACTACTGGTGGTGAGTTCTTGCACGGGTGACCAGAAGTCCCGCCCGCTGCTGCCCTGCGCCTTTGTCCACTGGGCTTCCCAGGCTCCTGGTCTCTGCTGTCACTCGCCCATTTCATTTGCCTCTGAGGTTTCCACCATTATGGAGACAATAACTCTCACTCCAAATGCCAAAGCTCTCTGCTCATTAAATGAGGCTTTGCGTTCAGCTGCAGATGGAACATTCCAGAGTCCCAAAGTGCAGTCTAGTCTTTGCTCCTCTCATCTTGGTGAGACTCAAAACTGCTTTAGTGCCCTGTACCTGCCTCTCAAAACCTCTCTCTCTCTCTCTCTCTCTCTCTCTCTCTCTCTCTCTCTCTCTCTCTCTCTCTCCCTCCCTCCCTCTCTCCCTCCCTCCCTCCCTCATTCTCTGGGGTCCTCAACTGCTGTCATGTCACCATCTTGTCTCCGGGTACCCAGCAGAGTTCCAGGTTCATGGTATGTTCTCAGCAAATATCTTCTGAACATGGGGCTTCACCCCTGGAGAAAAACTTGCGTAGGCTTCTCCTGCAGTGGTCAGCCTCTATGCCACTGCCTAGCTTGATGTCACAGCTAAGTCCATATCCAAGAGAACACCACTGATGGCAAAGTAAACAGGGAGAAGGGAGGGTAAACAGGGCAAACATCACACTCTGTTCTGCCCCCACCCTCCGCCCCAGGTCCGTCAAGCTGCTCTGCACCAGCTGCTTGAAAAGGAGCATCGGCAGTACCAACAGGAACTGAGACAGACGGGCAAAGCTTTTTACGTGGAGAGACTCTGATGGCATCCGAAGCACTGCCCTTCCATTTAACCGCGTCTGCTCACCTAGCCGCCTTGAGCCCCCACTACCTTGACCGTCCTTCCCCAAACACACCTGTATCTAGTTATCCGCCCGGGACTTAGCACGGTGCTCCCGCGCTCAACCCCTTTCTCACGTCAACCCCTGATGCTGCTGGGAAACCACCCACGAAACAACGGTGAAAACGAGTGACACCTTGTGGCCAGCGTGAGATACGCAGCGGGGCGAGCGGAGGGGAGGTGGGCAGTGTGAGAGGGTCCCGATTTGCTTTGACAAGTAAAGCTAGCTCTTAAAGGTTCAAACTTAGACCGCTCGACTCATCCTTTCGGCCCTAAGTCTTGATTTGCTTCAAAAGTGCTTGTTCGCAAGTACCGTAATCTTAACGTAGCTGCCGGATTTTGCTCACCGCATCTTAGATCTCACTTCCGCTGATCTCTTCGGTACCCTTGGACAAGCGGCTCTGAATGTGGCTGTTAATCCACAGGCGCCGAGCTGCTCGAGTGTCAGGAGGCTTGGATTTTAGGTGTTGGGTCAGCCGGTTACTTTGAGACCTTGGGGTCAGTCCCTTTCTTCCGGGCCTGAATCCCACCTCTGCAAAATGACAGGGTTCCAAACTCAAATGCCTTTACAGGGCAGGCAGGTAACTTAACAAATAGATGTAAGCAGTCGTAGGATTTACAGGGGACCAGAAGGATCGTTAAATCTAAAGACAGTCAAACTTTGAAAAAGACTGCAAAGTACTGGTAATCGTATGCATCTCTAGGCCACAAAAAGCCTTACTTTCCACTTCACATTCAAATGACATCCCAAAGCAGAGAGAGCCCCATTTTTTAAAAAAGTTCTCATCCTCCTCCCCTACCTTTTGGCAACCATCATCCGCTTATTCTCTCTATGGAGAGACGGCCCGGTAAAGCCGCAGGAAGACACCATCGCCCTGTGATGTAATCACCACCACACACTTTTCCACGCTCTCCCCGTTGCCATTTGCATACGAACTGGTCACTCATCCTTTCACGGTGCTCTTTTCCCGCCCTCGACTCCACGTGACTACCCCTCCACCGCAAGACTCACACCTTTTCTTTCCTCCTCCCCCAAGTCTGTCTCCATCCCTCAATATATATTTTTCAATGATCAGAGCTGCTGATCCCTTCTCTCCCTACACCCCACTGACAAGCACAGAGAGGCGTCGAGGTCCAGAGAGGACACAGCCGTGAAGTCCAGTGTGGGTTCAAAGTCGGGCTTCTCCTAATGATTGTGTCACCATGTATAAGTTACTTCTCTAAGCCTCGGTTTCCTCTTCTGAAAATGGGGACAATAATACCCATCTCCTAGGGTCATTAAGAGGATTAAAAATAAGTGTTGGTGAGGATGTGGAAAAAAGGGAACCCTCGTGCACTGGTGATGAGATTATAAATTGGTGCAGCCACTGTGGAAAACAGGATGGAGGTTCCGCAGAAAATTAAAACTAGAACTACTTTATGACCCAGCAATTCTACTTCTGGATATTTATCTGAAGAATCCAAGACACTAATTCAAAAAGATACATGTGCCCCTATGTTCACTGCAGCATTATTTACAACAGCCAAGATATGATCAGTATCCCAAAAGGCACATTCTGGGTGTCAAAACTTTGGTCCCCTTCGGCAGGAAAACATCATCACGTGTTTATTTTGCAGTCTGTGCCACCCCTCTGCTAAATGCTTATAGTCGGTCCCCACAGCAACCCAAGGAGGTGGGCGTTACCGACATTTTCCATATAAGGAACCGTGACCCAGAAAGTTAAAGCAACCCGGTTTCGGTGGCTTTAGGAAGCCACCTAAATGTCCATCAATAGATGAATGGATAAAGAAGACATGGTACATATAAACAATGGAATATTTCTCGGCCGTAAAAAAGAATGACATCTGACTATTTGCAACAACATGGATGGACGTAGAAGGCGTTACGACAAGCAAAATAGGTCAGACAAAGACAATTACTTTAAAGACGTTAAAGACTTTACTTATATGTAGAATCCGAAGAACAGAATTAATGAACAAATACAACAGAAACAGACTCGCAGAAAACAAACCGATGGCTGCCAGATGGGAGGAGGGCTCGGGGCTGGGTGAAAAAGAGGAAGGGGTTAAGAAGAAGTACAAATGGCAGTTACACAATAGTCACGGGGATGTGAAGTGCAGCACGGGGGATAGTCAGTAATACTGAAGGGACTGTGCATAGTGTCAGGCGGGGACTAGACTTATCGGGAGTCACTTTATAAGTTACACGTCTACTGCTACACCAAACGACGTGGCGCTCACAGGCTAGTGGGGAGTAACGGCTAGTGTGACACAAGCTTCAGAGGAGACGGAACCGCACACGCGTGGCCTGGATCTGACCTGCTGACCTGAGACGGAACCTCTGCACCTCCTGCCTGCCCCTCCCCCGACCCCCATCGGTCCCCCAGGTCCAGCTCCCCACCCTCATCCTTCCCCCAGGTCCGGCTCCCCACCCGTCCCCCAGGTCCCGGCTCCCCACCCCATCGGTCCCCCAGGTCCAGCTCCCCACCCCCATCGGTCCCCCAGGTCCAGCCCACCTTCGCTGCTTTCAGCCCCCCTCGCGTCTGTCTCCCAGGCAGCTGCCCTCCGCCTCTTACGCATGTGCAGCGTAGCCCGGTGTTGGGGGAACAGGCGCTAACTTGACAGATCTGGGTTTGAACTTTGCGTCTGTCGCTTGCTGCCTGTGTGGCCTTGGCGGGTTGCTTTAACTTTCTGGGTCACGGTTCCTTACATGGAAAATGTCGGTAACGCCCACCTCCTTGGGTTGCTGTGGGGACCGACTATAAGCATTTAGCAGAGGGGTGGCACAGACTGCAAAATAAACACGTGATGATGTTTTCCTGCCGAAGGGGACCAAAGTTTTGACACCCAGAATGTGCCTTTTGGGATACTGACTTTAAGCTGATCATTATGAAACAAAAGATGCAGAAAGAACCTGTGGCCCTCCCCCTTCCTACCTGAGAGACTCCGATGGAAAGGCTGCTCCCAGAGGTGACAGACAGCCCCCCGGGCACCAGGCAGGAGGCCTCCAAGCAGAGGGCCTGCTCGCTGGATCTCCTGTGTCCCCTTGTCCCTGGTTGCCGAGCAGGAATTTGTTGGCCACACGTGTGTCCCTGTGTCCTGCTCTTTTTCGGCTACCTGTGAATCGCCAGGTTTCCCCACGTGGAACCCAGACCCCTGCTCCCCTTTCTCCTTCACCCACAACAGCATCTAAGTCTCGACCGCCCAGTGTGTTTCTGGTCTCACGGTCCCCCAAAGTGTATCCGCAGAGCAAAGTACGGACATTTGGACATTTCCCGTTAATCTGTCTCTTGTCAATTTGATTATCCGCCCAGCTAGACTTAAAAGGTGGGAGGAAAATTGTTGTTTTTTTCTGCCCCCACCTTTATGTCCTCTCCATCACCTGGCTGCCCCCGCCTCCCAGCGTAACCCCTCACCAACGGATCGTTATTCTTCTTTTATTCCTCTTTCCTCTGTTCCTTTGGCCCCACAGAACACCCCACCTCCCTCTGCCTTGATCCCTGACCTTGGCCTCTCTCCCCAGGGCTTGTCAGTGCCAGGCTGGCTCCCGTATTGGCAGACTGGCCCCCTACACAGCCTGTCCCCTCCGATCCCCTCAGTGTCCTCTGTCTGCCCTCATCACGTCAGCGGAGTAGTTCACCCCGTCGACCCGTCGGGCCCTCGCCCTCTGAGGCCGGTGTCTTACCCGGCTCCTCCGGCTCAGAAGGGCTCGATCTTGTTTGAAAAGGCTGCACAGAAGCTACTTCCAGGAGGGCTAGGAGGCTTTCATCAGAGGCCGTCCGATGTTTCTTTCTGCCTACTTGTGCCACCCAGAGTCTCCTAGGACAACGGTTTGTCCCCCACGGGACATTCCCCTCCCTGCCTAGAGCCCTAAACACTCAAGTCTTTTCCATTCCTGCCAGTCCTTTCCCCAGCCTCTCTCCTTCCGGCCCCTGGCTCCCCAGGGCACTCGAGGTTCTCGGAAACGGGAACTCGGACTTGGGGGCAGGGGTAAAAAGGAAGGTCAGGAAAGTGAACATTACTCACAACCCCAAACCGAGAGCCACGAAGGAACAAGGACCTGAGGCAACAGCGCAGGTGCCTACTTTGGGGCTTGTACACCCACTTGTCAGTCTCCCTCTGGAAAGCAAGAGCCACACAACAGTCACTGGGGCTTGGGACAAGCCATTGATCTGCATCAAGGGCACCGAGGAGTCTGTGTGTGTGTGTGTGTGCGGGGGGTGTCCAGACTAATGGGAACGAGGACGCATGGAACAGGCCTGGGGGCTAAAGCAGAGCACCCTCCCCCACCCCGCACTCCACCCAAGCCCCCCGCCCCCACCCCAGTGCAGCTATAAGTCAGCCTCTTTTCTGCCACAGTAGAGAGGAGCATCTGCCTGCCACATGACACTCAACAGACCTGATTCTCTTCAGAAGAATAATCTCCCAGAAAGGAAGCAGGCTGGATCCCTGTGAGGCAAGACCCTTAGAGAGGCCAGCCAGGAGCTCTCAGGAGAGGCGGCGAGTCCTAAGGACTGCTCGTTGCTTCCTGGCGGAGGGGGAGCCCCCTTGCCCTTGACCTCTTAAAGTCTTATTTTCAATGTGCCAGGCCTGGGAGCCCAGGCTGGAGCCTGTCAGTGAGACAAGTCACTCTTCTGGACATCCGAGGGTGACTTTAAGGAGGATGCCTGGAGGACATGGGGAGAAGGTGAGAAGGGACAAGATGGTGGGAAGAAGCAGTCAAGCATTCTAGAAGTTTCTCACGGCTACTCATTTGTAGTACCTAAGAGCAGGAAGGTTCCGGGATGGCCCTCTGGGAGGCCCTCAGCTGTCTTGAGGAGGTGGTCGGGGAAGGGCAGGCATTCGGCTGGAAGGGAAAGGCAGGGTGTGCAGGCCCCCACCCCACCCCCGAAAAGCCCCGGGGCAGCTGGAAGGGAGTTGAGAACAGGTGGCAAGGCTGCCAAGGAGCTGCTGACACTGCTTAGCCTCTGGCTGGGCGCTGGGGCCGTGACATCAGGGGAGAAGCTCCATGTGGGAGCCTTTGGGAAGGACAGGTGCCCGGATGTGCGGCCCGGCCAGATGGTCCTCCTGGTTTAGGCCGACGTGACCCAG